AGGCTGTAATCATCAGTTCCTTATAGTTGATCGATGGTTGTTCGAGATGTGATTGAAGGAGTCTTGATGTGGGGAAGCCGGGCAATAGACTAATTTGTTACAATGAAAAGAGGGAGGTCGATTCAGCTCAGCTGTAGGTTGATCTGCATATATAAAATCAGTCACGTTGCCAAGAAACAAAGAAAGCTGTTCGATTTCTGCTCGAATCATGCTGTTCTCAGCTTCGACCAGTCCTAAAGCGCGCCTTCATTACAAACAAAGGTAAGCGATCCTGCTGTACCCTATTGAACTGAGCGGTTTGAAGTCAAGTGTAACGTTGATGTTGCGCACGTGCCAATTTTTGAGTACGATTGCTGTCACGTGTTTATGCGACTTCAGAAAAACCCTGTGCTTATAACTAGGTAAGCAAGTGCATTAGTGGAAGTGATTATGATCTTTTTTGACCGCTTTAAATACAGAATGTTTTGGTCCTTTTCTTCAGGGGACAAAGCTTCAGGAGGGAAGAGAAAAAGCTCCAATAAGTGGGTCCCCATGTGGTTTGAAATTTCTGATATTTTTCCTACCGTACTTGCGAACTTTTCGTTTTGAATTCTTACACTGATAACCTTTGAGACCGTGACGCAATTGCGCGTCACGTTTCCGCATGGAGAAAATTTGTTTCTTGTCTCTACTTATTAGTAGTTTTTCGTGTTTCAAAGCGCTCTTATACTTCATGGGATTCGAAGAATATTGTTGTCGGGCGCTATCGCAAGATACGGGGTCAATGTGGTGGCAGTGTGTTTGAAATCGTGAAAACATGTCCTTTTTGTAATAAAATAAGACTAAGCCTTGCAAGGGAGGTCATTCAGGGTGTGCCATGCTTTTTCGAAAGTTTCTTGCATTGAACATTTAGGGGCATGCATGTGGGAACCACAGAACCATGGTTAATTTTTCCTGAACGGCCTCTGAATACCAAAAAGGGGGTCCCTAGTTCGATTCCTCGTGGTGACAAATTTTTGCATTTCGAGTTGACGTTTCAAAATTCGCGCAAAATGGAGTTAGCATGAATAATTAGTACCATATTCATGATTTAAGGCGAACGTCAGTAATACAAATAGACTTTTGATTGAAAAAAGTGGTGAAAAAGGTGTGACTAGGGACCCCCTTTTCTGGTATTCAGAGAGCCGTTCAGGAAAAATTAACCATGGTTCTGTGGTTCCCGCATGTGCCCCTATATCATGCAAAAGACCGTTTTGAAAAAGCTTGGCACACCCTGAACGACCTCCCTTGTAGGTGGGGGAGACGACACTTCTGCCGCGCGTGAGCCATTTTCATTCTGTTCGGAGTTCCTGCATCACACCAGGCTTCGTCCTAGAGGAGCCCCCGTATATTGCGATACGCGCCTTATTTCATCTTTTCGACAGTGAAATCATCTCGAGAGCAAGAATGCTAATGAATAGAAATGAAAAAGATCCGGTGTACACTCATAAGGGTTGTCGTCAATGAGTTAACAACCAATCACTTGAAGCAATGAAATAGCGCGCGGTCTTCTCCGACCGATGATCAGGCTTCTCAATAATTTCATGTACTCCCATAACTTTGTGCGCCTGGGAGTTCTAATATATCGAGCAATTACCGATCTCTATTTTCATTTCCCTTTTCTTATTATTGGACGAATTTTTGAAAAGCGTGGGCATGGAGAGAGGGCCAACCGTCGCGTTCGCACTTTTTAGAAATTTTACTACCCCTCCTTTAGGCCGATGTCAGACTTTGCGAATCGCGCGATTCGCTACTAGCGATTCGCTAGCGTCCGCGGTCGCGTTGCGGTACCAGCCAATTGAGTGATTCACTGGCCGCGACGCGACCGCAGACGCTAGCGAATCGCGCGATTCGCAAAGTCTGACATCGGCCTTTAGGCATGTAAATACGACCTCCTGTCCCCACTATCATCAGTCTTGGGAGGCTCCCCCAACACGACAGTCATCTTCCCTACCTCGATCATCACCCTCACTACCATGGTTGTTTCTATAGTATTTGTGATTTGATTCTGAGACCAGTCGACACTCCCAACTCTACCCACTTTTTTCCCCCGAAGCAATCGTCAATGGAGGGGCGGGGGTGGAAAGATAAACTGGTGTGAGAAGTCAGTGAATACAACTAATTAGCAATCACTAGTTTTCGTCTACTTTCACCCCATCTTCATCAAACTCGGTCAGCAAACCCGTTCCAAAAAAGACCCTTCCCAAATTCACAAGGGCGACCCCTTCGGTTGAATATGTGAACGGATGGTTGAACCTGTCTGGAGATTAGGGATCCAAGAGTCCTGCGGAGCTGTCATGTCTTTTATGGCAGTGACAGAATAGTGAGGCCAAGCGCGTTTGGCCAGGAAGGCGTGATATGGAGATTTACAAGGACTGTTCACGTCTCACTCGGAAGTGAGTGAAAACTCTGTATACTCGTATAACTTCGTGCGAATATGAAAATCTCCCATTATTCTATTGCTTACACATACGTTAAGCCGTTCTGAATTCTCTTAATTTTGTGGTGACCATACTTAATGCGCTGAACAGTTCTTATGCAACTCATTTCTCATATACACACATGTGGTGGATCTGGTTGAGAGTTCAAAGTTGAGTGAGAGGCTGCGATTGAATGAAGACTGTCAAGTGCCTGCTCTCACTTGAGGCTGTTCAGGAGTCGAAGAGTGGAAAACTGCTGCAGTCAAGTGTTGCAGTCTTCTCATTGCTTTCAGACTGGAGTTAGTTTTAGATTGTAAAGTTTTGTAAGTTATGCTCGTACGGTAACATTTGGTGTTCACATTGCGATTGAGTGCACCGCAAATCTTGCAAAAAGGTGAATGTGATCACCGCTCGGCCAACAGTGCAAGAAAACTCTTTTACAGAATTTCCGTACTAAGTAAAGGTCTTAGGAGCATGCCCTCCCTGTCTTCAAACGTAGTCTCTTGCATTGTTTGGAGACAAACGCATCTAGCATGAAACTGGTGCTTTATTCTTCCTAAGTGACTCTTTGAACCCTAAAAAAGGGACGAAAAATTAATTTATTGTTCGATTTTATGGTTTTGGTTGGTGTTTAATTTATGGTTCAATTTATGGTTAATTTATGGTTTTCCATGGTGACAAAGTTTTGCATTTCCGACTGACATTTACACGATGTCACTAAATGGATCCCGCGGATAGTTAGGATGTCTTAATACCGTAAGGGCCATCAGTAACCATATGGGTAGGTTTTTACCAAAAAGTGGAGTCAAACTGGTGCAGCCATTGGACTCCTCTAATCCATTTTTTGGCATTCAGTAAGGTCGCTTAGGAAGGGATCCCAATTTGTGTACTGTGCTATTACGCAAGAATCATTTTCAAAAGTGTAGCCACGCGATCAGAAAGACTTCCCCTATCAAGCAGCGTTGTCTTCCGGCGTGGTGGGGCTCATGTTTATAGGTTTGTGTAGTTCTTGAGGTAAGCCTCCTCCCTAGATGACTAGATCTTGCAAGAAATCTTCTCTCAGCGCTTGATCTCGTAAGTGCCAACCTTCAGGTCTCTAGGTTACTTTGTTGCAAGAAACGCTTTGTAGAGTTTGTTGCAACATGTTATCAATGATCGAGGCAACAGACTATCATATGTTTTGTTCAGGTGATTGGTTTTTTTCCCACGCTGCTAAGTTAACACTCTTTTTCAAGCAAATGTTAACTTCTTACAACTAGCTCAAACCCCACAGAATATGCTCGTACGAGCGAATGATTGTTAAATAAAGGATAAAGGATAAAGCATTTGCCGTTGATCAATCCCGTTTTGGGATGCGGCACGCATTCTACTTCCATTTGTACATTCGCAGTGGCGTTTGAATGCGATGTGGCCTATACAATGACTTGCGGGGGCCAGCCGATGTACAAGTCAGTGTTTTTATCCTCCCAGACAAGTCTGGTACCAATTAACCGACCCCGGAGGGATGGAAGGCTTGGTTGGCCCGGGCGACTCACGACCCAGGATTTGATCCCCGACCGCTCGCGTGGTAAGCGCGCCACTTGCCACTACACCACTTCCCCGCAATGATGGGTTAATGGATCTTAAAACAGGTTTTGGTTGCGTGTTTGACCACTACTATAAAATATTTGTTTACTCATTTATTTTGTTACCATTGTACAAAAGGAGGCGACGAGTCATTATAAAAAAGTGGGAAATGGCATAGAATAGGAAATGTTAGAAACAACGTAGTTAAGGGCGGAAGTGGTGTAGTGGCAAGTGGCACGCTTACCACGCGAGCGGTCCGGGGATCAAATCCTGGGTCGTGAGTCGCCCGGGCCAACCAAGCCTTCCATCCCTCCGGGGTCGGTTAATTGGTACCAGACTTGTCTGGGAGGATAAAAACACTGACTTGTACATCGGCTGGCCCCCGCAAGTCATTGTATAGGCCACATCGCATTCAAACGCCACTACGAATGTACAAATGGAAGTAGAATGCGTGCCGCATCCCAAAAAAGGGATTGATAATAAATGCTTTATCCTTTATTTTTCTCCATCTTTAATCTAGCCTTAGTCCATGGGATAGTTACGTGATATCACGGCTTTATCTTCGCTTTTCAAAATTGACGTCTAATAATTGTAGTTACATCACTTGTAAAAAAAATCGTCTCTTCGTTATATTGGGCCATGCAGAGCTTAGGTATTCCACGGTGGCCGATTGTCACGTGTGTTCATGTGCTGTTTGCCTTCAACAATCATGTCTATCCAAATCTACCTTAGGTCGTCATCCAAGTCGCCTGTGAAGCGTTGTTCGGAGTTGTCGAACGATTCAAGTGTAGGCGAGCAGTCGTCAGAAATGTACGAAGCGGAAAGCAGTGGTAGGTCTTCACTAAGTTCACCTTAATTTTGAAATTTTATTCTCTGCTATCCACTGCATAATGTTTTCGTGGATATCTTGGAAAGAAGTACTTAGTTTGCTCCGGAGAATGAATTCTATCTATTTTAATTCTCAAAGCACGGATGCTGGCTATGGGCAAAAACCTCTGACCCAGGCAGAAATCGAACTCGCATCTATCTCTTTCCAGGCACTTGTCCTACCGATTGTACCACCGTACCGTCACTCGTATTCCCCACTAAGGACGGAGGTCGAAGAAGAGGAAATATACCTAGTCGAAAGGCAGGCGGGCCCCTAAGGGTGCGGGACGATGCGCGTTTCGCAGCGAAGGGTATACCACCAGCGGCCTAGCAGGGCCCTTCTCGCTCCGCTCGCTCCACTGCCCGCCCATCTCGCCGTCATTGCAGAGCGCCAGGGAGGGGTCTGATTTCTCGGGTTTTGGGCCACTACTCATGGACTTTTCTTCACCCCGCACCACTCACCTCTACCTGATTTTCAATGGTGCCCTTTCATTGTGAATTCCGCATTACCCATCTTTCAGTGGTATCAGCCGTGGCTTTGCCGGGCATTTATACCATAGAGAGGTTGGGTTTGCCTCCTGCCTAGGGCAAAGTGTTTTGCCTATGACCAAGCATTCCTTGTGGTTGCTTTCACATCATGAAATGCAGTCTGAAACAGCATTAGGAAAACAATAGAATTGGTTTTGGCATAATGTGTTTGAAATAAGTGATGTGGTGATGCCTTGAATTCAGAGTTCTTTGAAGTTTGCTTTTGCAGATGATGACGGAGTTGACGAGGAGGACGAAGTGTTTGCTAAAATCTGTGAAGATGATAGGACAGCCGTTTTTGAAGTGGATGACGACATGGAGCCTGTCAAAAGGGTGCGTGTTCAATGTGGTGTGGATCAGACATTGACGAGATCCATTCGAATAGATCAGTTCGCAGTTATCTGTGCCAGGAACTCTATCAAGCGGCATAAACAGCCTAGTCAGAGTCGTGGGGAAGATGCCTTGACAAATAGGCTCATGAATCTTTCTCAAAGTAAACAACTCCGCGCGCAGTAGGTTAAACTTCATAAGAAGGGTCGTAGGGCAAAGACTGATGTTCACTCAGAGGCGTTGTTGAATACTCTATAAGATACGATTTCTATCAGAACGCGAAGACGCCTGGGGCCGTATGCTGTCGTCCTGGAGACCAGGCTTTGTAAGGGAAGGGACCCCGAGGTGGGCAAGCCAAAAGTTTGAATGCGTGGGTTATTGTGGTGATGAGCCGCTGATAAGGTGAGAGCGCAGACAAGAGCGTG